TGTCTATTTTTCAGTCTGGACTTTGGAGGTATAAAAGTCATTCTGAATGACTGACCAATTTGTTATTGTGCTTGGCTTGCTTTATTTTTTCATTCTTCATTTTTATACCACTGAAATATCCATTTTTTATTTTTAGGGAAAATACTTGTACCTTTAGCAGAAACTGGGTCAGTAGACAATTTTTTATATTAGTTATAATAAAAAAGTGACCTAGTCAAGTGCAGTAATATAGTAGTCATAGAGATGTTCTTTTACATCGTGTAATTGTGATAACATTGCTTCCATTAGAAAATTGTTGAGATCCGTATGTATTATGGTTGAATTTCCAAAGGTTAGGTAAGTTAATACACAAATAGTAGTGAGTTTTTTGTTGTTGTTGTTGTTTTCAGTTTGTTCCCGATTTGCAGTATAGCAAAGCTTGTTAGGCTTTCCAGTAGTTTGTGTAAAGGACAAGACATGTCTCACACTGATTTTAAAAGACAGCGATACTAAGAATTCCTCATGCAAGTCCTATAATGTTGGCTAATTCTGGACAAATTCAGTTTTGGTTGTGCCTATTGACACTACCTTTTCAGTTTCCAGAAAGGTGTTTATAAAAAGATCTAATCTACACATACTGAGGGAAACATACACTTTAAAAAATGTACTAAACGTCGCTCGAGAAAGACCCATAAACAACTAATACACGTAAATCTATTTTTGAGTGTTTTATACACAAATAGCCATCCTTGGTTCAAGATGAACCGTGAAACTTTTCACATGTGCACAAACACAATTTTAACCGTTAAATTAATTTTTCTAATTATGTTTCCTAGGTGAGATCAACAACATGTACTTTGAATTAATTAATTATGTAAGTTAAAAATTCATTTTCACAGCCTTTCTGTTTGGTAAAGTGTTTAATTCCAGTGTCAAAGATCACAGTGCGAGGTAAGTGACTTTAAAATGGTTCTTTGCCTTCTGTAATGATGGCTAGGATGGTGTAGAAAATGTGAAGGCGACACAGCAGTGTCTGAACAAGACGACGCTTTTGAAAATGTTCGGTAGTGATTGACTTATGACGTCACTCCTTTTTTGTTTCTGCGGATGCCCCGCCCTCTTTTGGTGCGCATATTAACGATTACATTCAAACAATTGGTAGATTGTGATATTGTGGGACCCCAACGTACCAATCAAAGTACACCATTTTCCCCAATTACTTTTGTAGCTATCCCAAAGGGGTCCGTGTTCTTCCACAAAACAACAACATTAGAACACTTTCGTGGCACCTGACCATGTATCCAAAGTTTGGACTGCTAGCTTGTGACTGTGGGTATGAATACAGTTTCAAACGTGGCACTCCTGGATCCGGGAAGTGGGAAGGAAAAAAAATTTGATGCCATATTCGAGTTCGTAGACCCTCATCGTACGTTGGTGATCTTACAGCAGCGTTTTAGTTCCCCTTGGTAAGGGGGATATATCATATAGTATTCGCCAATCACATTACTTTAACAACCAATGTATTGAAAATTCGCCAATCACAGTTACTTTAACGACCAATTCTTTGAAAATTCACCAGTCATAATAATTTCAACAATCAATTCATTGCTTTGCAAAGTAAATGTGTTTACGTTAATTAACAAAAAAAATATTTCTTGTTATTATAAACTTTTTTGCATAATTGTTTTTAAGTGGAGTTTATTATGGTTTTATCGACATAAGTATGTGAGTATTAACTAAAATATATATAATAACGTATAGTTTTCTATGTGTATTGACTTTATGTTCATTTTTATTCAGTTTTATCGTAATTATAAAAAAACACACACACTACATTGACAGTAATATAAAGTCTTGAATTATGATCAATATCCTCGCATCGAAGTTGGGAATCCAGAGGTCGTTGTCGATTAGCTTATATTATTGAACACTCGGGGTTGCCGATGGGAAACACACTGTAAAAAAAGATTCACGTAGAACTGAAAATTATCCTTTTTACCAAAAATTAATTACAACCGCGTCTGTAGATTCTTTTATTGTTAAGTTTAAGTGATTACTGTTACTCCGTATAATTTGTATTTTAACTAATCACTGCCCTTTCACGTTAACTTAAGTTTGACTTAACACTGACCGTTTAGTACGTAATAACTTAAACCAAAAAACTGGTAAAATATTCCAATAATATACAAATTACAAAAGCTACTACATCCACTAAGCCATAGATCTTCAATGAGTACCCTCGCTGCTATCAGTTTTCAGCCCTTAACCCAAGATTGACTTAACATTGTTCGTTCACATAACCTTAAGTTCAGCTTAATATTGCCCCTTTACAATAACTTCAACTTATCTTATCTGTTTCTTATTATATTCGATAAATTATAAGTAATCAACATTATACAACTGAAAACAGGACCGCTTTGAAAAGTGGAAGAATTATACCTTAAAAGATTACCAAATGATAGGAAAGGAAGTTATAACAAGTCATTGTTTATAGTACATAATAATAGGAAAGGAAGTTATAACAAGTCATTGTTTAGAGTACATGATAATAGGAAAGGAAGTTATAACATGTCATTGTTTATAGTACATAATGATAGGAAAGGAAGTTATAACAAGTCATTGTTTAGATTACATAATGATAGGTAAGGAAGTTATAACATATCATTGTTTAGAGTACATAATAATAGGAAAGGAAGTTATAACAAGTCATTGTTTAGATTACATAATGATAGGAAAGGAAGTTATAACAAGTCATTGTTTGGAGTACATAATGATAGGAAAGGAAGTTATAACATGTCATTGTTTATAGTACATAATGATAGGAAAGGAAGTTATAACATGTCATTGTTTAGAGTACATAATAATAGGAAAGGAAGGTATAACATGTCATTGTTTAGAGTACATAATAATAGGAAAGGAAGTAATAACAAGTCATTGTTTGGAGTACATAATAATAGGAAAGAAGTTATAACAAGTCATTGTTTGGAGTACATAATGATAGGAAAGGAAGTTATAACAAGTCATTGTTTGGAGTACATAATGATAGGAAAGGAAGTTATAACAAGTCATTGTTTGGAGTACATAAT